TAAGAGCAATTTTGGCTTTATTTGTTGAACAAATCATTAAAGATACGCTCATGATATAAGAGCAAAACATCTGAAGCGCTAAGATGGAAAGAGAAGGAAAATTTTACCAAAATAGAGAGACATAACTATGTGAAAGCTTAAAATCGATGGAGTTTGTCTAGAAGAGAAAATGGGAACGTAGGAATGGTGGCTGAAATGACTTGGACTCTTTTAGTTGGGCCAAGTGAATTGGCTTCTCTTGTGGGTATTACTGATGGCCAAAATTGGGGGAGATATTCAAAAATAGCTAGATTTATCACTGGTCGTTGAAAAATAGCCAAGTTTCAAAAGTCATCAAAATTTAGCCACTTTAAATCTGAGCGAAAACACTGTTCAAAATCCGGAAAAATACGCCCGCAAATTTTACGGGAGTTCCAGCAAGTATAATTGTCCAGTATAATATACTGGAGTTTGGAGCACTGGTGCTCCAGTCTCCCGCAAATTTTACAGGAGTTAGCAAAGTATACCGGTCCAGCATAATATGCTGGAGTTCGTACACAAATGCACCAGAACTCCCGTATATTATACTGGACCGGTCCCTGTTGCAGCAAAATAGTGGCTATTTTTCATTGACTTGATAAACGCTGGCTATTTTTCATTGACCAGTGTGAAAACTGGCTACACCATGATATTTTAACCAAAATTGGGCTTGACATGGTCTTTAAATTCCTTTCTTTCTAATATTTCTTTAGGCTTCTAATTTAGACCAAAATAATAATAATAATAATAATAATAATAATAATAATAATAATAATAATAATAACAATAATAATAATAACAATAATAATAATAATAATTAGCAACAATAATATTAAGTAGACAATTAAAATGGTTGACGTGTCTAGCAATGAATATTTATATCAAATAGTGTTCTAATGCTTAAGCGGAATGATTAAAATGCCAAAATTTATTTTTAGTATACAACCATTATACAATGCCACGCAAATAATATATAAATATCTTGAGCAAATATTCTATAAATAAACGTAGGATTAATGCAATACAAAAGAGAGTTATTTGTAAAGAAAATATCGCTGATTGATTAATTTTGAATAAAACCATTTGAGCGATAATTATAAGTCTAAATCGTATTAAAATATCAAATTAAATATTCTTACACTATTAGCGATATTAGAAGCTCAAGTAAATAATTTGGAATAAAGGACGGACAAAATTGGATGTCAACACGTAGTATGCTTTCCGTTGATGCCTCGTTAAAAACCTTGCCAGAAAAACTCAAATGGAACAAAAACTGGACGAAGGGAAAAAGAGTGCAGCACATACTTTTAGTTAGGGTGATGTTCATCAGTAGTAAATCTTTTGAGGTGCACCACGTTCCAATTGTTGGGCTCCATTTTGATTCTCCAATTCATGCGAACCTGTAACGACCCGGCCCGTCGTTCTGAGAGTTATAGCCCCATTTCCCCCATCTATGCTTATTTATGTGTTGTTCAGCTGTGTTGAGTTGTATCGAGTTGGTAGGTTTGGGTTTAGAGTAGTTCTGGAGTTAAATGATCACTTAGTCTCTTAGTTAGAAAGCTAAGTTAGAAAAGTCAATCGGAAGTTGACTATGAGTAATCGAATTTAGATTTGGATTTTTATGATTCGGTTAGCTTCGTTGGGTGATTTTAGCCTTGGGAGTGTGTCCGAAATGTAAGTTGGAGGTCCGTGGTAGAATTAGGCTTGAATTGGCGAAAGTTGGAAGTTTAGAAGTTCTTATACTTGAATTCGAGGTTGATTTGGTGTTTTGGTGTTGTTTTGGGTGTTCCGGAGGTTCGACTAAGTTCGGGTAGTGATATATGAATTATTGGAATTATTGGTTGAGGTCCCGAGGGCCTCGGGCGAGTTTCAGATAGGTTTGGGTTGTGTTGCGCTCGTTTTTCTTATGTTTTGACGCCGTTTCTTCAAGCATAAATGATATCATATTGAACAAATGAGCTCCGATTTCATTTTTGATTGAAGCATTAGATTCGTATCATAATTACAGACCCGTAGCAAAAAGAATCGTCGAATTTGGACATCGTATGAGGATTTTATGGTCATTTTACTAAGAATTAGGTTGTATGAGGATCTCAGATTAATTACGAAATTGCCACTGACGGCGTATTTAAAAATCTGAACAATTTGCAAATATTAAAACCTACATATCTCCTTCATTATAAGGTCAAATTGAGTGATCAAAAGCCTAACTTGACTAGAATTTCACAAGGAATCCATTGGAGGCATAAAAAGCGAGTTTTGGGATCGTTTGGCACGAGAAACGAGGCAGAATAACTGGCAGAAAAATATATAAAACTAGGGTTTGTTCATTCGGTCATATTTTGAGTTGGGAAGCTTGGATTTGGGAGATTTTGGAGGCGATTTTCACCATATGGGTTGGGGTGAGTGTTCTATACTCAGTTTTGGTTATATTTCGTGAATCCATCTTCGTTTTTGGGATTTGATTGATGATTTCAAAGTGAAATTGAGGGAGTTAGGGTTTAAGATTTGGAGAGTTTTAAGTGAGGATTTGAGGGACCAAACGGAGTCCTATTTTGATAAATTTTATATGGTTAGACTCGGGAGAGGACGAGGTTTATTATTCTGCTATTGTTGACTGGTTTCGAGACGTGGGCCCGCGGGCCGAGTTTTGGCCGATTTTGGATTTTTGGCCTATTTATGTATTTTTTCTATTGGAATTCGATTCTTGAGCCCATGTTGATGGTACTAATCTGATTATGGTTAGATTCGGAGCTTTTGGAGACTGAGTCCAGAGACGAGGGCATCCCGGAGAAGGATTTTACGCTGTTAAGGTAAGTGACAGTTTTAACTCTGGCTTTGAGGGTATAAACTCGGAGAAATTGATATCATGTGATCGTTTGGTGGTGATACCCACGCTAGGTGACGGGCGAGTGGGTGTGCACCACGAGGGATTGAGACTTGGCCCGTTCCGTGAGGCTGTGAGGCTTAATGGCTATTATCTGTGGTTATGTTTTTACTTGTTGTTGAACTTGTTTGCCCTCATGTTAGAGATCATGTTTAGGCTTTATTAATGCTCACATTATTTGTACTCAGTCATAGAAATTATTGTACATGTTTACCTCAGTCTCTATTATTTGCTAATATATTGTGATACTTGATGTGGGATGTGTTCCCTTATTTGTTGATAATGGTAAAGCTAGTGAGGTACATAATTAAGTGAGGCCGAGGGCCTGGTTGTGAGGATATTAATACCATATTGCGTGAGTTGTCTACATAGCACGTGAGTTGACAGTGTGGGTCCAGGTATTGATACCATAGCGCGTGAGTTGTCCGCGTAGCACGTGAGTTGACCGTGCGGATCCAGGTATTAGTATGATGGCACGTGAGTTGTCCGTGCTTAGCGCTTGGGCTTTGGGAGCCCCTCCGGAATCTGTACACACCCCCAGTGAGCGCAGAGTGTTGAGTGTATTGAGTGTTGAGTGCTGAGTGCGAGTGATGAGTGATGGAGTGACATTGCTGTGAGGTTGTATTTACTTTTGCTGTTGCTGCATTTACCTGTTAATTTCTTTGTGCCGTTTGTTTGTTTTATGGAATTTACCTGTTTATTAATGATTATTGTAAATTGTGAAAATAAATAATTGGACTTTTTTGCTTAGCTCGTCACTGCTGCTCAGTTCCTTAGTTATTTCTGTTACTACTGAGTCGGTTGTACTCATACTACACCTTGCACTTAATGTGCAGATCCAGGTGAGTTAGAGCGCGGCGATCGTTGAGTTCAGGCCGACTATCTTTGGAGACTGCAGGTAGCTGCTAGCGAAGGGCCTTGTTACTCCTTTTGTTATTTCTTCTTTTGGGCAATTAGACAGTTTATATATCTTAGTTCATAGTTCTAGACGCTCATGACTTAGTGACACCTCGATGTTTGGGGCTAGCTTCCGTATTTTTATATTAATTATATGTAGAGTTGATTTAGTTTATGAGAAATTTAAATGTTGGTATTGTTTTATTAAATCCTTAAAATTAATTAGTAGTAATATTTTGGGAAATAGGCTTGCCTTGTAATACGATAGGCGCCATCCACTACTAAAAACGGCTAATTTCCGACCGAAATTTGCGACCAAAAATAGTAGTCGGGAATTTCCGACGGAATCGGTCGGAATATTCATAAAAATATATTTTTCAATTTTTAATAATACTTACGACTAATATTGCGTCTATGTCCGTCGTAAATTTTGGGGGAAAGTTCCGCACCATTTTTAGCGACCAATTCGGTCGGAAACAATTAAAAAAAAGAAATAAATAAATAAAAAATAGCGACCGATTTGGTCGGAAATGTTTAGTAAAACGAGGTTGACTACTTTTCACCAACCTACCGACTGATTGTTCTAAATTTAGGTCAAGTACTATCCTTTAGTATAACGTATTTTGTTACATAAATACCCTTATCTTTATTTCTAAGATTTTTTTTGTATGAGATGTCAAATATTTTGATTGAGTTTCTAGCTTCGTATAAACTTTTGAAGATTTGCTTCTTTTATTTTTCCTTTTTTCCATTTATGAAAGAATTGATCTTATTTATCTTCAAGTTGAAAAAAAAATCTGATTTATCTTTTATTTTTTTCTGCATTTTTTAGTAAATATCACTAGCTCCTGTTTATGAATCCATCAATTAGATAACCAACCAAAAGCCTGTAAACCTAATTAAGAAAATTCCATGGTACAATTTCACTACTGTTATGATTTGGTTTGCAGATATAGAAGTGAAGGTTTGCATTTCATGTTGCAAACACAGAGAAAAAGCATGCACAAGATAAATAATGTAGAAATAAGGGGGGCATTACACTGAAAAATCATGAAACCTTTGTGATATAATGAACTCCAACTACTTGGTTAACTTTCCCAACTACCCTATCTCTGGCACTTTGGAAAACATTAATGCAATTTTAATTGTTGCACACCTACTTTCCTCTTCTAGTTTCCCTTGGCATTGTGGAAAAATAATTGCTACTTCAGATTTGTTATTTCGATTTTTGCAACCGTTTGGTTTCCACAGTCCATGCTTCTTTAGCTTACAGGTACTTACATTTTCTGTCACAAATAATTCATTTTAATTAGATATTGATGGTGTAGTTTGATTTAAAACTTGGTGGTGCTTGGACAAGTAATATCTATATTCACCTCCTCATTCCCCCATTCTTTCTATTTCACACGACGACAACTTTTTTCTTTTTCTATGTGGGGATACATATTTAGTGTTATCTTTTTCTATCACTAAGCTCTCACAATTTTCACAATATATGTTACTGTTTTCAAGCAACGAGCAAGTAGAGTAGCAGCTCTCAATGAAAGATTGATTGGAATCAAAGTTGGTGACTTTTGGTGAGATCAATGCCTTGGTGTCTATGGTCTTATGACAATCCCTCTCTCTCTCATTAAAATATTACTTCCATTTATGTTACAGCCATGTTAAAGAAGGGCTTCTGCTTGGGAAGCTTTATGGGAACCGATTTACTATAACACTTCAGTATAGTTATGCTTCAATATTTCATTTGTCCATTTCTTGTGGGGCTCCAGACAGTACATGAATACCATTTTTCTTTCTTTGCTCTTGTTTATTCTTTGAAGTATGATTGTAAAGCTTGCTGATTATATGACATGTTATGTGATGGGCTGAAACTGAAATCTTTTCAGGGGAGTGTCAGGTACTTTGTAATATGCAGATCTTTTTATCTTGGTTAGGTGGATAAGTTAACTTCACTCTTCTTGAAATCCAGTCTAGGCCTTTCAATTGTTGTTCTTCATAAGGATCTCTTTCAGAAGAGCTTTTACAGAAATACCTGCAACCTTATTTTGCTTCAGAGAAACTCACTAATGCATGTTCCTTTCTTCCTCTTCCAATGTCTCAGTCATATGTGTATATGATTCCCTGACAGTACAGTTAATTCATAAGTATGTCAGCATGTGGGATAAATATGAGCTACAATTTGAAATTACTGTTATGCTTGGGGCTTATCTTAGTCGTGCACTTCATGGCATTTTAATGACCAACAAAAAGCCCATACTTGACATGGTTGTGCAGTGTTATCTGGTACCTCGTCATGTAAATCAAGCAATTCAGCATACAATGCTAAGCCATGGCAAACTCATGAACTTGATGGTAAGGGAAGAAATAGGCTAAGATGGGTACAAAGCAGACACATGGTTTATAACTATTGTGCTGATTCTAAGAGGTTTCCTCAAGGTTTTTCTGCTGAGTGCAAGAGTTCAAGATTTTAGGATATGAGAGTGTGAAATTTTTTATTCTTTGTACCAATAAAAGTTCTGTTTGGTTACTAATTTTGTTGCTGTGTAACTGGTATTCAAGTTTATCCCGTTTTCTTTGATATTCTTACTTGATGAAGTAGTGTATGAGTAATTAATTTCTGACTAACTGTAAAATTTTCTACATTTGTACTTACAGGTAAGTATTGCTTAGTCAACAACAGGTCGTGGATTTTAAGCAAGTTGATTCCCACGTCCACCAATTCAAGGGTAGCAGTTCCAGTACTTAATTTTAGTTGGTCTCTTACATTTTTAGGAATGCTAAGTTGGTGATTGTCATCTTGCTCTTTGTCCTAGTTTTGTCAATATGAGTAATGTATTTTTTAAATTCCATAAATTGTGTTAGATCTTCAGTTTTCCTTTTATATGATCACTCAAATTCCGCAGAACAAAGAATAACCAGAAATTACTATTCTTTTACTTGGTTAAGCGGCTGGAGGAAATCCTTCCCATTTTGCTGATGCTATATCTCTAAAAAGCATTTTAGTAAACAGGCGCGACTGGTCTGTTGACTGTTGCCAATTCAGCTTGAAAATTCAATCTAGAAATAAGTTCAAGGCAGAAAAAGAAGATTCAACAGTAGAAGACAATAGATGTACCAGATTGTGTCTTTAGATTTACTGTGGTTTTAGAAAAAAAGTTCTCACAAATTATTATGCTTTTTGCAGAATACTTAAGTTTCTTATTTGAAACAGTAGAACTTTTCTGCTTCAGTGGTAACAACAGTAAACTATGCTCAAGTCAGTGGTAACAGAACTTTTTTGTAGTTATATCAATTGAAGCCAAGTTCACTGGAAACTTTAGATCCAATAAAGTTATAGATCAATTGATTTGGACTATTTTTCTGAATATTTAGTTGACAAGTAATACCTACTTGGTAAATTTATTCTACTCAGAGATTAAGTTTTATGCTATTAGATTTTAGATCACAATAAGTACGTAGTTGAATAAGAATGTCACTATTTAAGACAGTTCCTTAGGCATCTCTACTTCTGCTGCATAGCAATTGAGATTTATTTACAAGTAGACTATATCAGTATATCCTTATAATTATATGTGTTAATCACGTGATTGTTAGGTTGTTTATTTATTTCTTTAGTCGTTTAATTATTTATATTTACTGTCACTTGTTGTATTTTTTGTTTTGTATTTTATTATGATTATATTACAGATATGGCATCTAAGGGGAAGGGAAAAATGAAATCTAAGAAGAAAAAACAACTTGTTCCAACTTCCTCAACTATGCCAAATATGAGTCATCCTCTTCCTCATCCTCCTCAGTCGACTTCATTGCCATCTACCATATTCACTATCCCCCCTCCATCTAATAATTCAGTTCAGTATTATTCTATGCCTGCTAAAGGCAGTCAAAGTAACACCGTTTTTAACTTTGTACCCACACCTTCTATACCATTATCTTCACCGGGCTTTCATGGTAGTCAACATGGTGGCTCACCAGTTGTTGCACCCTCGGTCTTTTATGGTTGTCAACATACTGACTCACCAGCTGCTGCACCCCCGGGCTTTCATGATAGTCAGCATATTGGCTCACCAGCTGCTGCACCCCCGAGCTTTCATGGTAGTCAGCATACTGGCTCACCAGCTGCTGCACCCCCGAGCTTTCATGGTAGTCAGCATGATGGTGCGTCTTTTGTTGCTCCATCATCTTCCAATCCATCATCATCATCCATTCACAGCATATCTAGGTTGGATATTGGAGGCTCTCGCCCAGCTACATCTGGTGCTGCTTCTGCACCATCTCGTAGACGCAGGCAGAATCTTGGAGGGGATGTACAATTTGATAGTTATAATCGATTGATAATCGTCCCCCACAAGAATGGGTAAGAAGGTTCTTATACAAATTTTTATGTTTTGAATGTACATTTAGATATATTAACATTAAGGAGTATTTATTTGCAATTAAAAGATATTTATTAATTATATATATGTTAATTTTAATACAGGTTTTTGCCATCCTTTCAAGCTACACATATGGTTACAGATTCTATGAAGCCATTTTATCATGAGCCGTGGACTTCTTGGAAAAAGATACCGTACAGCATCAGAGAGCAAATGTGGAATCAATTTAGGGTAAAAATTAATTATATTTATTAATAATTATCATCTTCATCTAATGTTACTTTTTATATTGCAGACAAGGTGTACATGGAATCCTCAGCATCAAAATGCAATAAATAGTATTTTTGAGAAGAAAGTTGGTATAAGGATTAAAGATACTATGTGCGCTTCTCGGAATTCCGGTAAAATGCCGGATTGGTTAAGAAAAGATGTTTGGGATAAACTTCTTGAGAAATGAAATACCCCAGAATGGAAGGCAAAGAGTGAACAAGCAAAGGCAAACCGTGCCTCTAAAAAAGGTGGCTTGTTGCACATAGGAGGTTCGATTACTTTTGAGGCCCATAAACTAAGAATGGTAATTATTTATAAAAAATTTCTTAGTTTTACATATAGAATTTTACGTTTGTAAAGTCTAACTCATACTTTTTCTTATGAAGGAAAAGGAAAGAGGGCGAGATGTGACTTACGTTGATGTCTTCGAGGAGTTGCATAAGAAAAAGAAAAAGGATGGTACAAGATAACACTGGGTGGAGACGCGTGTGTCAGACACATGTAAAATTCTAACTTCATAATTATTTATAGTTTATTAATATTAGTTTGTTTACATAATAGTTATGTTTTTCATTTCAGGAAGATTATCATAAAAGGTTGGAAGAATGGCAATAAACTCAGCCTCCTTCAACTCAACCAACACCTGATGATATGGCTTCATTGTGGACAGAGGCAGCGGGCGGAGCAAACAAAGGTAGAGTCTACGGACTAGGAGTACATCGACCTACAGGTCATCCAAACCCACTCTTAGACAATTCTTCTCCTCAAAATCAAGAACAGATGGAAGATGTGAGAAACAAAATTCGTGGATTGAAGCAACAATTGGACTCCCAAAACGGAACATTTGTTAAGATGCAGAAATTCATGCGTAAACATGGGTTTGATTTATCTGATGATGAGGATGAACAAACTGAATCTGATGTGTAGTAGTTTAGTTGTGATGTTTTGGTTGATTGGTAAACTTGATTGTGAGAGACAACTTTATGTATTGCTTTTAAACTTGAATATGGGCTGCTATTTGGATGTTTTTATGCCCAAAGTTGTTAAGTTTAAATGTTGGTATTGTTGGTTTAAGTTGTGTTAATGGTTGACATTGTTGGTTTAGAAATTGTTAATGTATTGTTAATTTAGATAGTGTTAATCTATTGTTGGTTTAGATTGTTGGTTGGTATTTTTTTGTCTGTGATAGTTTGACAGGTGGTGTAGCTCGAAATTGGGCAGAATTCTGCCCAGTTTTGTACAAAATTCCGACTAAAACGGTCGGAAAGCTCCCCAGATTTATAATAAATTGTCAGATTTTCAACTGATTCGGTCGGAAATTTTCTTAAAAAAAAATTAATATTCAGATATTTTCGACGGATTCCGTCGGAAATTAAATAAAATTTAATTTTTAATTATTAATTTCCCACAGATTTGGTCGGAAATTTAAAAAAAAAAATTAATATTCAACAGTTTTCGACGGATTCCGTCAGAAAAATAAATAAAATTTAATTTTTAATTATGTATTTTCTTGTATTATTACGACCGATTCAGTCGGTAAATTCCGACCACTTTAGTCGGGGAACTGAATTATTTGGTAGTCTGACCATTTCGACATTTGCGACCACTTTAGTCGGAAATCACCGACAGATTCGGTCGGAAATCGTTTTCCGACCAACTTTTTTCCGACCGACCAAATTCGGTCGGAAAGTAGTCGGAAAATACGTGATTTCCGACCGAATTCCGACCGTTTTAGCCGTCGAAAATATGCCATTTTCTAGTAGTGATCACGACCATGGTTCGATTTTGGGTCGTGACAGAACCTTTCCTGGTGATAGCTGAAATCCGATAGGGGCCTTCCCATATTGGACCTAGTTTCCCTGCGTTATGCTCCCGGGTATTTTGTGTTACTTTCCTTAGGACCAAGTCTCTTTCTTTGATATAACGGAGGTTTGCTCTTCGATTATAATACCGCTCCTTTCTCTGCTTTTGGGTTGCCATTCTTACATGCGCCAAGTCCCTGCGCTCATCGAGTAGCTCCAAGTTGACTATCATTGCTTCGTTGTTTGATTCCTTCATCTGCTGTGAAATATCTCGAGGTGGGTTCCCCTACTTCCATCGTGATTAAAGCTTCTACACCGTACACAAGGGAAAAAGGAGTTTCTCCTGTGCTCGATTTGGCCGTTGTTCGGTATGCCCATAAAACTCCGAGTAACTCCTCGGGCCAATGACCTTTAGCCGCTTTCAATCTTTTCTTGAGTTCTTGTATATTCACTTTGTTCGTTGACTACGCTTGACCGTTTGCGCTCGGATGATAGGGTGAAGATGTGATCCTCTTTATTTTTAAATCTTCGAGGAACTTTGTGACTTTTGAACCAATAAATTATGGCCCATTATGACATGCTATCTCTTTTGGTATTTCGAACCTGCAAATTATATTTTCCCACAAGAAATCCACCACTTCGCGCTCGTCGATCTTCTGATAAGGACCTGCTTCTAACCACTTAGAAAGATAGTCAGTCAAAACTAAAAAGAATCTTACCTTTCCGGGAGCCGGCGGTAGCGGTCTCACGATGTCCATCCCCCACTTCATGAACGGCCACGGGGACAGAACCAAATGTAATGGGTCTGCCGGTTGATGCACCAGTAGTGCGTAACGTTGGCACTTACCGCATTTTCGTATGAAGTCTTTGGCATCTTGTTCCATGCGAGGCCAATAATATCCTGCCCTTATCAACTTCAGAACTAAGGAATCTGTGCCCGAATGGTTGCCAAATATGCCTTCGTGGACTTCTCGCATGACATAGTTAGCTTCGGATGCCCCTAAGCGTCGGGCCGACGGGCCTTGGAAAGATTCTCTATACAATTGGCCTCTCTTGAATCTATATCGTGCTACTCTAGCGCTCAGCGCCCATGATGATTTGGGGTCTTCGGGTAGCTTCTCGTGCTCGAGATAATCGATGATTTTGTTCCTCTAGTCCCAGACCAAACTAGTCGCATTTACCTCATGGTAACCATCTGTATCCAGGACTGAGTTCATCGGTTGTACTACCGTCCCGGACTTCGATACCTTTATTTCCGTTGATGATCTGAGGTTAGACAATGCGTCTGCTTCTGCATTACCTTCCCTCGAAATATGAGTAATCGACCACTCCCGAAATCACGTCAATAGAGCCTGGACCTTTACCATGTTGCATGCGCTCCTCTTTGGTTTTGAAGACCCCGTAGACTTGATTTACCACCGGCTTTGAGTCGCATTTGATTTCGATGACCTCAGAGTCAAGTTCCCGGGCCATTTCGAGCCCTGCAATCAAAGCTTCATACTCTGCTTCATTGTTCGTTAAAGGGCCCGTTCTAATGGCTTGCCTTAGGGTTTCCCCCGAAGGCGTGATTAATACTATACCAAGCCTAGGCCCTTTTACGTTGGAAGCTCCATTCATAAGTAAGGTCCAAACCCCTGATGTCGATTCCGACACCATTACTGCCTCTTTGATTACCAGAGGCAGCAATCCCATACTGAATCGGCCACAAAGTCAGCCAAGACTTGTGACTTAATTGCAGTCCTTGGTTTATATTCTATATCGAACTCACTCATTTCGACGGCCCATTAGAAGGGAAAGTGAAGGATGTTCCCCAAAGGGAAAGTGGTCACCACGGCTATTAGGTGACATTAGAAGTAGGGAATTAGCTTTCGAGCGGCGACTACCAGAGTTAAGGCCAATTTCTCCAAATGTGGGTAGCGAGTTTCTGCTCCCGTTGAAATTTTACTAACATAATAAATGGGAGATTGCGTACCTTCGTCCTCACGGACTAAAACTACTCTTACCGCGACTCCCGAGACCGCGAGGTAAACTAATAGTGTTTCACCTTCCTTTGGTTTAGAAAGTAGTGGGGGGCTTGACAAGTACCTTTTTAAATCTCTCAAAGCCTGCTAGCACTCCGAGGTCCATTCGAAGTTGTTTTTCTTTTTGAGTAGTGCGAAGAAACGGTGACATTTTTCTGATGACTGTGAAATGAAACTGCTCAAGGCTGCCAATCTCCCCGTGAGCCTTTGGACTTCCTTCACGTTCGACAGTTGGTCCGAGATATCTTCGATGACTTTGATCTTGTCGGGGTTTACCTCAATCCCCCTTTGCGATACCAAAAATCCTAGGAACTTGCCGGAGCTGACCCTGAACGCACATTTTTCGGGGTTAAGCTTTATGTTATGCTTCCTTAGGATATCAAAAGTTTCTTGCAGATGCTTAAGGTGATCACTTGCATTCAAATACTTAACGAGCATATCGTCCATATAAACTTCCATAGTTTTTCCTATTTGTTTTTCAAAAATCTTGTTCACGAGCCGTAGATACGTGGCTCCGGCATTCTTCAACCCGAAAGGCAACACATTAGAGCAATATGTGCCAAAATTTATTATAAATGAAGTTTTTTCCTGATCATCCTGGTTGATCTTAATTTGGTTGTACCTGGAATACACATCAAGGAAACTTATTAGCTCGTGCCCGACCGTTGCGTCGATCATTTGATCGATGTTTGGCAGTGGGAACGATTCTTTAAGGCACGCCTTATTCAATTCCTTATAATCTACACACTTGCGAAATTTGTTGTTCTTCATAGGAACTACGACTATATTAGCTAGCCAGTTAGGATACTTTACCTCTCGGATTGACCCGATATTAAGTAAGAGAGTTACCTCCTCTTTGACAAATTTATTCCCGACTTTCGCAATAGGGCATTTCTTTTGTCTTACCGGAAGTATGTTGAGGTCCATACTTAACTTGTGTACTGTTACCTCTGTCGGGATACCTGTCATATCCGCATGCGACCATGCAAAATAATCGGCATTAGATTTGAGAAATTCAATAAAACCATACCTGAGTTCGGGAAGTAGTCCTGTCCCCAAGTGGGATTTCCTTTCTAGGAATTCTTCGAACAATGCAACTTGCTCAAGCTCTTCCGCTATGGATTTCGTTGCATCTGTCTCCCCTAGAACCTAGAAATACCTCGGCACCCGACAATATTCCGACATTCCTGCCCCCGAGCTAGCTTCATCTAGTTCGGGAGAAGGCGCCGGTTCATGTAGTTGCTATGCCGCGTGTCCCTTTTCTTTGCTACTGAGACCAAAATTGCGTTCATCTACCTTGCTGCCAGTTGGTCACCCCTTACCTATTTAACTCCTTCGGTTGTTGGAAACTTCAGCAATTGACGATATATTGATGGTACTGCCTTCATCTCGGGTAACCATGGTCTTCCCAGAATAATATTATATCATATATCACCGTCTACCACTTCGAAAAGAGTTGTTTTCATTACCTCTTCAGAATTTGTGGGAAACAACATCTCTCCTTGGGTTGTAACGCTCGCGAGGTTGAATTCTGCGAGAAGTTTTGTGGCCGGAATGATGCTTCCGGTGAGTTTAACTTACTCTAATACTGATATTAGCCGAACTTTCTAGATCCACTATAATACATCTAATTTTAAAATCTAGCACATTTAAACAAATTACCAGTGCGTCGTTGTGTGGTAGCAGCAATCCGTCTGCGTCCTCCTCCGTGAAAATAATATCGTCTTCTGCGACTTCCCGGAGCCTCTTGCTATGGGTTATTGATACTTTCATCTTTGCTACCGAGAAGGTGACTTCGTTGATTTCATTCCCCCCGAAGATCATGATGATCGTCCGGCATGGGTGATCTTCTCCTATTTTCGAGGATTTCCGCGTTGATATGCCCGTAATTGTTTTTAGCTCGGTCACCTAAGAATTCTCTAAGATGACCATTCTTTAACAGTGTTTCCAGTTCTTCTCGGAGATGTCGGCAGTCCCAGTCCGATGGCCATTCATCCCGTGGTACTCACACCACAAGTTGGGATCCCTCTGTCTAGGATCGGATCTCATCGGTTTCGGAAACTGTGCTTCTTTGATGTTTCTCATAGTTGATACCAATTCTACTATGCTAACATTGAAATTGTATTCTGACAGCCTTGGGTAGGAAGGATCCCGCGTACCTGACGATACCTTATCCTGCAATGATCTATTGTTCCGACCGCGATCAAACCTTCTGTTAGTGAATCTATCCGTTGATCGGAAATCTCTGATATGGCCTTCTGTCTGTTCGTAGAGCAGAAACTGGACTTCTACCCGTGTCGAAGTCATCTTTTGATTTTTCTTTATTCTTCTCCCGTACCTTCGCCGACGACGAAAAACCAACCTAATCATCTTCAGTCCTTATTTTTGACTCATACCGGTTGTGTATATCCGCCCAAGTCATTGCTTGAAACTCAAGCAGGCTTTCCTTCAGTTTCCCGGAAGCATCTGAACTTCTCGGATTCAGTTCCTTGGTGAATGCTTTAGCCACCCATTTATCCGGGACAGTCGGGAGAAACTTCTCTCCTTTTGGAATCGGGTAACGAACTCTCATAGCAACTCGGATTCTCCTTGCGCAATCCTGAATATGTCGGCCTTTAGGGCCTGTACTTTTATGGCCCCGGCATGAGCCTTGATGAAAGAGTTTGTGAGCATTTCAAAGAAGTCTATGGAATGCTCGGGTAGCAATGAATACCACGTCAAGGCTCCCCTCGTGAGATTCTCTACAAATTTCTTCAGCAAAACAGATCAATTTCGTGATGAGCTAAATCATTTGCCTTCACCGTCATTGTATAGGTGGTAATATGCTCCTGAGGGTCTGAAGTTCCATCGTACTTTGGCACATCGGGCATTTTAAATTGCTTTGGGATTAGTTATGGTGCTGCACTTGGTTTGTATGGTAACTGAGTATATTTCTTTGAGTCCTGTCCTTTCAGCACCGGTGGTGTGCCCGGGATTTGGTCCATGCGGGCGTTCACTTCCCTCATGAACTGTAAGAGTTCATTTTGAAGGGATCATTTTCATTATTGGGACCAGATCTTCTCGCATCAGCCCCAGCGGAGCCAACTTTGCCCCTTGGGGTGTTGCTGTCAACTCTTTGCGTTGTTTGATTCGCAGGAGCGCCGGGAGGAACCGGCTCTCGTCTATTCGCATTATTTGAAGCCTTCGACAACGCATGTTTCTACTCCCTCATAACCTTATCCTGTCGCGTGAGGTGACCTAGGATGATCGCATGTTTCTTTAAAAGACCCTTACCGCGTCAACGACATGTTCCTCCTCAGCATCATCGGGAGTTGTCTCCCGAACACGCCGAGGATATTGCATGTCATGCATTGGTATGACGTCATTCCCCTCGTCGTGGGTGTCACTGATTGAGTCCTCGAAATGAGGCTGATCCCCTCGAATCTCGGGATTGTGCGTGTTGTTAACACTGTTATCTGCCATTTCTTATGATTTTTTCTAAGACAAAATAATCAAAACACGTTAGTAAAAAAGGCAAGGACCAATTTAGTTGCACGACTGTCTAGGCCCCACGCTGGGCGCCAAGCTATTTACCCGTAAAATGATACAGTTGAATTTATACGTGGTTTCTATATAAGTGAATTAATTTGATCCTGAAATAATAAGATGATTGGAGAAATATCCAATACTTAGCCTTGAGATGGAGACAAAATAGCAGAAACAATGGTTCCGGGAGCTGGGCTTTCGGGTACAACAACAATGAAATCAAAAAGCAAGAAGATAGAATTGTATTAAGCTTTGGATAGAGTGTAGCGTCAGTTTTCTAGAAAATTCCTCTTCCTTACAGTGATAACTGACCTTACTATTTATAGATACGCCTAGGGAAGGAGGTCCTAGGATCGTGCCCTTCTTTTATGTCAATTATGAAGGTCATTGATGAAGATGTAACGGTGAACATAAATGCTAAATTCCTTATAACAGGTGCTGTGGAATATTCTCCATTGAATGTTACCGGACGAATAGTATTTATTACATCCTTATGAGCGTTACTCTCTCCGATGACAGATGGGACAATTACCTTCGGTTCTGGTTATCCCCCATTTTAGGTTCCACGTGTCCCTCTTTTGAGCGGTCACGTAGCATTGCATATTTTACCCTATACAGCTACTTATTCGAAGAAGAATCCAACAAACAGTGTATTGCAAAATACTAGTTAGCAGTTTTAAGTAACATGTAGATACAAATGTTTTAATCTGCCATAGAAATGCTCGTCAAATAAAGCCATCAAAATCAGACCATTTGCCTAAGCAGTATCAAGGACCTTCAATCGTTACCAGCACATTTTTCTTATTTTGAACGAAAATAATGAAAGTGAAATAAATGCCAAAATATAAACTTTATTTTCTTACTTTTCTTATTCTTAAATTTTTGAACAATACATGTTTTCAAAAACTAGGGGTAAAATAATAAAATAAAATCTATACTATATTAAAAGTAGGAACCCTTTAATTGAAAAGTTAAATTACCTTAATGACCTTCTAAAACCTAAATATCCTATTTAAATATATACAAAGAATAAAAAGATCCCAGCGCTTAGCAACAGCCCCAAACGAAATGACGCAACAAATAACAACACGGTAGCAGCTTTTTATTTTGCAGACTGCATCTCTGCTGGGAAGTATTAAACTCTTGGCAAGGCAGTCACGAAAACAAGTGTTAATTAGAATTCCACATCAACTATTTGTTGAATAAAAAGTAAGCGGTCAAACACCTTGAAGAAAAGGCTGGTTCAGGATGGTTCCTCCTGAATTCGTATTTCAATTTTCATGTTTGTGTCTAACTTAAGTTTCGCACATTTTTTGATAACGAAGTCAACCTGCACATTTTTTGCACTTCCAATATAATGCGCCATGCTTCAATTAAGAACATCTAATAATAGTCAATTAAAGCATATACACTTTGATCCTGAATATAGATAAGAACATCTAGAGGAAAATTTAAACCAACTAAGGAAGAAATCAAAGAACATTGTTCGGCTAATAGATTCGTGTTCTGCAGTTTAAATTGTGATCTCTTGACTACCATCCGTTCCACTGGTTAGTAATTAATGTAGGGAAAAAACTTTTTATTTTGCTATTATATTGTAAGGAAAAAATTTCACGTAACCGAACAAGCACCATGCCAATACTTTCTCTCAACTTAATGAAGTACCACTGATCCTCCCTTCCACTATGGCTTTTATATTGTGATACAAACTAAATCTGTGGGAATATTGAGCAGATTTGCAAAAGCAATGGCAGTTTTTTGCAATTGGCATTACATGAAGAAAACAGACACACCAACCATACTCTGAAATTGGAATTTGTGGTCCACTTGGAATTTATGTTCTTCTCTCATATAGTTCATCTAGAACTTTTTGCACATTTTTCAAAACAATGTCAAGTGAGCAGCAAGTCTTTTGCAAATAAAGATGGAACAATTTGGTGAGGTAGATATAAAACTTTTCTTGCAGCGGCCAATGTAATATATTTTGGCATCAGATCAAATAGTCTCCCATAAAGATGTCAACTTCAGGGTGACGATTGAAGAAGAAAGTGATAAAATCGGGTTCTACTTTCTTTACTTTACTTATTATTTATTTACTGATGCTTTGTGATTTTTGAGATCTTATTTCTACAAATGTTAGGATAGACATTACCTACAAAAATGAAACTTGAAATATTTACAGTGTGGATTTACTTAGCTTATGATCAAAAGTTAATAGACGTAGTGTCTAATATTATTTTGAAGAATTTGAAGTGAATGCAAGGTTAATTGTTTTGCAACTTGATGGCACTATTGTTTTCTCATTCAAAATAGTTATGCAGTGATATTAGTTTAGGAAACAAATATGATTTTCTCTAAAGAAGACAATAACTTCAGAGCCATGATGAATAGGAAAAAAAAGAAATGGCAACAAAGCTGACCAATATGGAGAATTTTTCTATATCTCAAGAGATTGCTTGGGAAGACTAGACAAGTAGCTTTAACAAATTGCTTGAAAAAAAAATTCAATGTTTCCATTCAGTTGGCAAGCATTTTGGTATTGAGATACAATTCAGCGAGAAGAGTTGTGGAAAAGGAAAAGGATAAAATCTCTGGTAAGTATCTTCGGAATAGTTGATACATAAGATATAGCCACACAAGTGATCATATGTGTCAACCATGCTCACGTGAAGTTTCAATATGATTCTTCAATCAATGTGTATCTTTGTTTATTCAATTGACGATTATGTTACATATTTGAATCTCTTGTATTCCATTAGTTCTTAGATTTATTTAAGCTACTACTGAAATAACATGTCATTATATTCAAATAGCATATAGGATAGTTTATACGCTAATTTTTACGTAAACATGTGTCTTTGTTCAAATTCTTAACATCTTGGATAAAGTCTGTGTTAATTATTATCCAATTTTTTAAAAGCCAGTTTCATATTTTTTCTATAACTTAGAATCTAACTCTACCGGTCCATGTACCTTTCAACGGTTTCTTCAATATTTTGATACGTTAACTATTTTCTGTGTATGTGGCGCTGCTTAGTATGTCTGATTTATTAGATATTGGTTCTCGACTCATTTTTCACATAATAAGAATAACTGTGAAGTGTTCAATCTTTGCTAATTCATTGTATGTATTGTAAGGCGAATTTTTTTCTATGAAATTATTTTTGAGAAATATTAACAATATTAAAAAGTATGTAGTACATGACATGATATACATGTGCAACGCACGTGCCGAGAAACTAGTAGTAGTAACAAACAGTAACAACGTTAGCTAGAAAGATCTGTCCAAACCTGCAAAATCCGATCCAAATCAGATTTCACTTTTCTCACAACTTCGCAATCTCATCCTCGGCCCATTCCCGCTTCTCCGTTTCGTCCATCACACAACTCACGCCCGACAAACAAATACATTTACGATATTTACCTGAAAATAAAAAATAAAACAGGAAATAAAAGACAAATTCCAATTCCAATAACAACGTTACGTGCTCACGTAAGGCAACCCAATCCCGTCCTGTTGCCGTCCTTAACTTCCCCTAATCCTGATCGTAACTTCACGCGCCATTTCCCTTATCCCGGCGACTTCATTTCCTTATGTCATCATCTCCGTACACTCAACATCTCCTACTCATGCGGTTCACGCGCTTTTCCAGTCGCCAACCGGCGCTTCTTCTTTTTACCCTTCCCTCTTTCTCCCCTTTTCCTCCTTATTCTCTTCTTCTTGTTGATTTTTCCAATCAATGGGTGAAATTACTGCATCCTCCACACAGGTAACGGCGCCGTCAAGGCCATTGCCGTTTCGTGAGGATTGTTGGACTGAAGAAGCTACCTGGACGCTTGTTGATGCTTGGGGACGTCGTTATATCGAACTGAATCGTGGATTTCTCCGTCAAACAGATTGGCAACAAGTAGCGGATTCCGTAAATGCTCTTCACGGACACACCGCGAAAACTCGGCGAACCGATATTCAGTGTAAGAATCGGATTGATACGCTGAAAAAAAGGTATAAAGTTGAGAAGGCAAAAATCGTTGAGTCTAACGGAACCCTAACATCATCCTGGCCCTTTTTCGAACGGCTTGATTTTTTAATCGGGAATTCCGGTAACAAAGTTACCACGGTGATGGTGTCTCCGTTACCTTTACCGTCACGGTCTCCGCCTATGGGAGTGCCGTTGCCTAGCCGGCGATCGACGACGACAACAGCGGCTGCTCCGGTGGTGACACCGGTTGTTTTGCCTCAGAAACGGCAGATGCCGGTTTTGGATGATTCGTATTTCAGGAGGAATTATTCGGCGGTAGCTGCTGCTGCTGCGGCAGAAGGAGGGGAAGAGGATTACGATGATGATGATGAGGAGGATATGGGGATGAGTGAGGAAAAGGATGGGATGAGGAGGCTGGCGAAGGCTATAGAGAGATTTGGAGAGATATATGAGAGAGTTGAAGAGATGAAACAAAGACAAATGGTGGAGTTGGAGAAGCAGAGGATGCAGTTTGCTAAGGATTTGGAGGTTCAAAGGATGCAATTGTTTATGGATACACAAGTCCAGCTACAGAAGATTAAGTATACAAAGCGGTCTGGCTCTGATGGTATAAAGTTTATATCTTTTGATTTCACATAAAGCTGTTTGCTCTTTTTTACCATTCATTTATGTGGAAGTTCAAAACTTGTTTGCTTAGCATGTGTTTATGCATGTATTAGTGATCAGTGTTTTATATTGTTGTTAATATTAAGTTCCTTTCAATGATTTATGTGTTATGAATTATATGATAGTGAATGTTGTGCCTCCAAACCTACATGTAAGTGTAATAGAGTTTGAGAGGCTAACATGGATCTATGGTTCTACATGATTGAACAAAATTAGTACATCATATATACTTGAGAAGTTTGACTATGTCCTACGTGGACATTCAAATGTACTAGCCGCAAGTGTTATATATGATGATTTAAGGTGCGAAAAATAGAACAAACTAGACCTAGCATGATATGGAGGGGACTTATTTTATTAGAAGGTGTGCAATCTCTCTAAATCAAAGTGAACTTGGCTTGCAATAAAATATATGAAAAGCGAAGGATCTATATAGGCAATAGCCGCGACACTAACTATTTAAGATTGAGATTTATTTGTTCTTACACTTACATTAACGTCGGTTGGGATTAAGCGTGAAACTTAGAGTATGTAGCTTCAGAGAACCTCTAGCTTTAGAGAACTCCTATGTTTCTTTACAGACAATGCTTACGAGTATTGGAATGTACTCAGACCCACTAGTGCAGAAAGTATAAAGGATTAATATCAGCTCGGAATTGAAACCTAGTTGATATTTATTAATTGACTATTAATTATGTGAAACATCCAGCAGCAAGGACTCTTGAAGTTTTGTGTTGATCATCATTGTGGCTTGAGTTGTATTAGTTGTTGTGGGGGTTTGTAATTCTTTATCTTATATTGAGTATTTATTTATACGATTAAAAGCCATGCGCCTTTTGTTTTCTTAGTTAGTTTCTAAAGGGTGAAAATTATTTTATAAGGAAAATTACATTTTACCCCTTTTGTAATCGGTCAACTAATCTAAAGATAGCGGTCACTGGCTGGAAGTTGAGATGGGAGGAGGAAAGTGTTAATTGTTCTGTGTTGGAGTAGATGTTTGATTTTCTAGGCAAGGTCAGAGAATAAAGATGATTTTCACCTGTTTCTAAATTGATTATCATCCATTACGTTTTGTGGGAGCTGAATGTTAGCTTTGAACTGTCATATTGGTGTTTTGATAGTCTCAATTCTGAATGCTCATGTGAATAACTTCTTGTTTATTTGTTGCTTATTGTTGAACTGTGAATTTTGCACGAGATTTTGTTGATTTGTGTGTGGAGCAGGATCTTGAACTTCTACTGGTAACTTATTGGTATACTTCCTGATGCTAGTAGTTGCTAGAAGCCTAAAAAATATTTCTAAAGCAGTTCCTTAAGCAGGGATTTCACTTTCTAATTGCTCTTTAGCTATAAAAGACTTATTTGTGGGATAGTAAGATGATATTCAATGATAACATGCTATATTACATGCCAAACTAGTTGAACTTTTATTTAGAATTCTGATGTGCCTCTGAATGTTGTTTTAGACATTTTCTAAAGATGAATATGCAACGAGTACGAAAGCATTTATTTCGTCATTTAGTAGTGATTGACAAATGAATGATTGCCTGTTCTATGACTATATTGTACTGTCTAAAATGCTACTTATTGAATGTTGCAGATATCTATAGCTAGCTCTGTGGCAAAAGAGCACTTAAAAAGAAGCGGGATTGCGAAACTATGATGAGGCAATCCAGGCAGTACTCCTTATTTTATCTCCAAATTCATGTCTAATGATGACCTAATATAACTGATTACTATCACTTTTTTGAGCAGGAACAGTTGGTACCTGTAGTTAATTTTCCTTTTATTTAGCGGATTTAAACATTAAAGTATAGTGTTAGTCCCTGTGTAGAAAATTTTGTTTATTGAAATGAAGGTACCTTTTCAACATTTTATTGGCTACTCCATGAATTAGACGATGGTATATCAACAAGGTTATGCGGACATGCATTCTGTGTGAACTGCCTATTTTGCATTGTTCTAAATTACAATGCAAAAGATCATCCCAGTGCAAACTGCAGATGACAATTCTTATTTAGGTGACTATTTTCAGGTTATGGATTGTGTATTTCGCTTCTAGTCTTCTGTTTGCACCTTTAGTTCATGTGACTTGTATGATATGCATGTGTGGTTGATGAGATGGTCGCTATCTCACCAAAATATACCTTCCCCTCCTTATTTTCTCTAGGGAACTTCACTTGGCTAATGTCAAGATCTTAATGAGATTGGTTGGTCTTGAAAGTTGCTTCTTAGAATTATCATGGTACTTTCCGCCAGTTGTTAGTTTTTCAGGAACGTTATTGGTTATAGACAGTTCTCTATTGGATATCAGAATGTATTGGAATTTTGGAAGGGGAAGAGGAAGATTTGGGAGACTATTCCTGAGGAACAAAAGATGTTCTGAAAGCAAATATGAGAACATTCACATTTTGAAGCATAGTGTATATCTTTTTAGGCTTTTTGGTGCATATTAGAAGATGTTAATACAGCTTATATGATAGATTTCCTCAGCTTCCTACAGTAATTGTAAAGTTACTTAGATGTCTGTAATTTCGTACACAACCTTACCATTCTCAAAACAGAGTCTGAAGGTATTGGAAAAAGGTGAAGTTGAAGAAGATTGGCTCTACCAGAGTGCAAGTAAGAAAAGGAGCTGACATTGATGTCTTCCATTAATCAATGGTTATTCTGTTTGTTTTCGACCAACAGTGTAGAATTTTGCAAACTTAGACGAACTGTTGATGTTCATGATTATATAAAGGACCAAAACCATTTACGAAAAGAAAATGAATCCAAAAGTTTTGTTATAGTATTAAGTTTGACCAATGACGGATTTGTGAAAGTCAGCAAATGTTTGTCAAATGCAGGATATTGGTGTACTGAATATAAGAGAGCATAAGACTAAGAATGGATTTCTCAAATTGGACGTATATGTTCGTTACTACTTATAGATAGAGTAAGTCATCACCTTTTAGCTTAGCAACTAAAACTGTTCTCGTTCACAAAAACAAAACTATGTCTTCCTATTCATCTTTGCTTGTCATCACACTTCGTACCCTACTCATAGCAGCTTTTAGCTAATGTTCCTCCTCCAAGTTCCTTCAAGTACATCATCAATGAAGGCTCACTCAGTGAATACTTTGTTGAATACAATGCAGATTATCGTGTCTTAAACATTGGCACCTTTCCCTTCACGCTTTGTTAATTTATCTACCCCAAATGCCGTCATCCTTGGGCTACGAATGGGTCATCGCACATCTGAATCCGTCATACGATGGGTTTGGGAGGCTAATCGTTGACGTTAGCTTGTTTGGTAATGGCAGATTTGTTTGGTAAAGTTTTGATCACCCAACCGATACACTTTTGGTGGGTCAAGCTCTAAGTGCTAAAGGCCCATCTAGGCTAATAGACAGAAAATCCAACAGAGAACCTGTTGATGGGCCTTATAGCAGTGTCCTTGAAGGGAGACATTGGGCCATCTTCTCTCATGTAAATGTGAATCAGTAAATTACACCTGATGACCTTAATGGGAGAATTACACAAAAATACAGTTCACCTACATACATTGCAGCAGAATAACCCACTTACAACTTTGCAAATCTGTAGCCCATTAACAATAGGCCAACGTTTGAAAATTACGTTTCAAAAAATACTTCTGCAGATCTTCAAGCACGAAAATTCAGTGATTTTTTATTCTTCTTCCCCAAGTTTGTATATATTCATATTCCAGCTACAAAAAATTCAAATTCATATATAATGCAACTTGAAAACCTTAAGTTTTCTTCTTTTCCAACTTTCAAATAGCATAAATAAAAAATAAAAATTGAAAACATTATTGCACGTTCATGATTTTGCAAATAAATCAACAAGAAAAGTCGATTTATACATAGATTGAACATATAAAATTTTAATTTTAGATTTAACTACACATGTGCATTACATGTATAATGATGTATAACTTTGTATAAACTTGTATATACAATCTCTAATAATGTATATCAGAAAAATAAGACAAAGAAGAAGAAAAGAAGAAAGTGTCAAACATCCATGGAGCCTACTATACACGTACAATGTATATACACACTTATACATTAAAAATATATCTAATTTATACAACATTGTACGCATATATACATACTTATACATATTTATACAATATTGTATAAGTTTGTATAAACACTACCTATACAAGTTTAGACCAGAAAACACCTTCTGTCCATCACCACATTACAGTTTTCGGTGGTTGCTGGTGTTGAATTTTTCCGGCAAGGTTTTGGCATTCAAATCTGGGCTTCACCAGTAGCAAAGGCTGAAACAAAAACTAAGAGAAATAAGAAAATATGAGACGAGGTCGCCGGAGATGCTCTTTTAGGGTATTAATGTATCATATACAAGTCACATTCAAAAAAAAATTAGAAAGAAAGAAAACAAAATTCAAAACTTACCCACAATTTGATTCTAAAGCAATATTTCGATTTTCGTCTGCATTGTATCAATAAGAAAAAGAGATTTTGGGTGAGTAGTAAGAATGAGGAAAATTGGGTTTGAAGAGCTTTGGAAAAGAAAAAGAATCGACAATTTTGGGGGGATAACAATGAGTATAAAAAATTAAGAGAGATTTTGCATGATTATCAAGAGAGAGAAAATAATTTGAAATTCTTTCGAAAAGGAACAGAATCTTAAGTGTAGGGGTTATTGGAAATGGGGTTGGGTGTCATATAACTGATAGGCTAAATTTAAGGGATCTTGAATTTTCTTCTTTTTTATGGTTTGTGTATAACTTGTAAATATAGATATACAAAGTAATTAATAAGGAATCTAAATAAACGAGGTAAATAGGTTTCTACTATAGTATAGCTAGATAAAAAAATCCCGTAAAAATTGCACGGGGCGCCCTATTTGGTCGCCCCCATTTAACCTATACCCATTTTTTCAAAAAGTTTTAACTTGTACCCACTTTTTAAACAACTTCAGTCCCCTTTCTCCTCCTTCGTTTTCTTCTTCTTCTTCTTCTTCTTCTTCTTCTTCTTCTTCTTCTTCTTCTTCTTCTTCTTCTTCTTCTTCTTCTTCTTTCTTCTGCTGCTGTTGGTGCTGCTATGAAACTTCAGTTCATGGGATGATTGCGATAAATATGTTTATCAGATTATTTAAAAATAAATTATAAATAATTACGTAAGTTAGTAGGCAATAATTTGTGAATATTTCCTCGTACGTAAGTTAGTAGACAATAATAATTATGTTCTTTTCACGTTTATTGTTTCCAAAATTTATGATTTAGATACTATTGGCAATCTGATTATTTATCTAGTATGTTAGAAAACTTTTTCAAAAACTTCAGCTTATACAGTGCTGGAGTTTTTACAAATGAACTAAATAACTTCAGCATCTTCTGCTGAAGTTAGCTTTATGACAAAACTAATGAATCCAGGACAATATTTTTTTAGCTTTTAGTGCTGAGTTTTGAAAAAGCTTATCCAGTGCAAAAAAACTTCAACTTATTTAGTGCTGAAGTTTTTATAAATGAACTAAATAACTTCAGCATCTTCTGCTGAAGGCTGTT